CCTTCCTCCCTTCCTCCCTGCGTTCCCCGCTAGCCCATGCGGGGCGGGGGGCTCGGGTGGAGCCCAGCTCCCCGGCAGCGCTCCGGAGAGGTGTGATGTGTTCCCGCTGCCCCCCCCGCCCGCTGGGATACCCGCACTTTCCCATCTCAGACAATGCATTTCCATTCCAGTCGTGTGCCTTTGTCCATTTGTAGGAAGAAAAGAGGGCTGAGTGACAGCTCCTGTTAGCCTGCATGAACAGATACCAATAAACCCTCCCAAAACCTGGACCTTAAAAAAAAAAAAATAAATAAAGAGGAAAGAGCGAGGCAGGGAGCCACATGCCTCTTCGCCTCCGGCTTATTATTAAGACACCTTCGCAGCTTAAACGCTTAAACGCGACCCAAATTAAATGGCAATTAAAAGCAAGTTACACCCTCTCCTATCTCCAGGCTTATCACGGGTGGAAGCTAGCCATCAGCAGAGCCTCCCCGCCGGGAAATGCCATTTGGGCTGGCATCTTCGCGGAGGGTGTGTGAGTCCCCCCCCGCCGCCCCGAGCTCGCCCGGCAGCGGGCGGCCCCCCCGGGCACTCCCCGGGCGGAGCCCGCAGTCGCTGCGGGGCTGGAGAGCCGCTACCTGGGGGCAGAAGGACAGGGGGGAGCCGAGCAGGCAGACAGGACTGATTCCCCGAGTGGCAGCTCCTCGGACCGGTGTCACTAAATAAATAAATCACGTACCCCTTCAGCTTTGCAACCCGGGGCTACGCAGCCTCCGTGCGTTCCCGTCTCCAAAATATATCGGCACTTGGAAATGTCGAACCGGCTGTCAGTGGTCTTTAGCTCTTACGTCCCCTTCCCTATTTTTCTGTCTCCTATTACAGATGTAATTCCTTAGATCTAGATGTATTTTATGTATAATTCCATAATATCATATGTCACTGCAGTGATACTTTGTGGTCTCACCCTAGTTTTATGTTTGAAAATGCTATTTAAAGAAGCCTGTAAGATAACATATTAGGCAGCTTTAAAAGCAGGTTGGAGTGTGGGGTGGACTTAAA